ATTTGAATAAATGTAAATTCTAGACCATTGTTTTCAAGCCTGGAAGTATTGCTTAAATGTACCCGTAACAATGAAACTGCAATGTAAGTCACTATTTATTCAACGAGGATGTGCAATATATCAACAGCGTTACAAAAACCACAGTTTGAACGTAAAAAAACTCGTTCTTTTCCATTGTCTGACGGAGTTATCCGGATGACGGAATTGTCCCGAATTATTTTTATATTGCGTGCATTTTCTACTCACATAACCTAAAACTATAACATAAGACGGTTGAAGTGGTAAGAACCAAGGATTTAAGTGCCGTTATGTTCGTTTGGAGATATTCAACGTTCAAGTTAATTGTTTATTGTAAAATCATTTCATAATGGGGTTTTTAAGGAAAACAACACATAATATATTTAAGTGTTTAATTACGTTTCAAATTATGTTGTTACATGCTTGATTAAAAAAATCACTTAGACCTCTTTCGTTCTATTTTTTTTTATTTACATATTTTACAAAAGGGATGAGTTTCCTAATAAGAAAACTTTATTGCAATAGTAAATATTATAAAAAAATATTGATTATCATAGTCAGAGTAGATGTCAAGGTCATAATTTTTTTCTTGGACATTTTCCTTCATTTTAGTTTCCATCATTGGCTTACTTTCTGTAAGTAACCATTCTACATATCTATCTATCTATCTAATTACCCTTCTTCGGTCCATCTTTGGACACAGGCCTCCCCAATCCTTTTCCATTCTTCTCTGTCTGTCGCTACAGCCATCCCACCTAGAGCCCACGTGCTTCTTGATATCATCTGCCCATCTCATTTGGGGCCTTCCTCTGCTTCGTTTATATTCCCACGCTTATCCGCTCGTTTCTCTTTTTATCCATTAGTCTTATGTGCAACATTTGTCTTTACATTGCTCTTTGGGTTTTATGATTTTGTCCATGTTTGCTTTTGTAAATGTCCACGTTTGGGAACCATAAGTAAGAACAGGGAGTACGCATTGATTGTATACTTTGGTCTTAAGATGCTGTGGATATCTTTTGTTTTTAAGAATGTAGCTTAGTTTGCCAAATGCCGCCCTTGCCAGTCTAACTCGTCTCTTGATCTCTGCTGTTTGGTTCTCTTTGTTAAGTTTTTATAGTTTGAACCAAGATATATATAATCCTGAACTTGTTCTATTTCATCTTGTCCGATTCTCATTGTGATGTCTTCATCTGTATTTGTTATGATGTTGGTCTTGCTGTAATTCATATTAAGGCCTATATTTCCAGCTTCTACGTCCAGTTCTTTCATCATTTCAAATAATTCTTCTTTTTTATCAGTTATCAATACGATATCATCAGCGTACCTTATAGTTTATTTTTATGAACGAGAGAGTAATTAGCATAATTTTAACTGGTATCTCCGACCACTCCATGGGCGTGCTCAAGATTAATTGAAAAATTACTTTGAATAATTGTAAAAAATAAATGAATTATTTCAGTGTTATAAAGTGTTATGTGTATGTAAACAAAAGTGACCTCTTTTATCACACACTATATTAGAACTGACTGGCCTACATTAAAAAGGGTTTTAAAAAATTCACATTTTTTTTTAATTTTTAAAAATTACAAAAGAGAAAAGAGTTTTTAAAACCGTCTAAGGTATGTTAAATAGATGAATAAAAATATTAATATAAAACTTACAGCTACTTGTTACAAATCCAAATCAGATTCAGAAGATGAACTTTCAGAACCAAGATTTATAATAACTGGCTCGATCATTTTATCAGTAATATTGTCCAGCTTCCACATTTTTTCCTCTTCTTTAATAGTGTGATTTACTGCCTTTTCCCAGTTTTCAGGTTTTACATTATTTACGGCCTCCAAAAACAACTGTTTAACATCATGAATTTTAAAAGTGGTATTTTTTCTTGAAACTTCACTCTTTATCTGTGCCCATACCAGTTCAATCGGGTTTAATTCACAATGATATGGTGGGGATCTAAGTACTGTCATTCCACGATTTTTGGCAATTTCATCAATTTCGTATTTTTTAATTTTTTCTTTATGAAGGGCACACAACGAATAAAGTTCCTTTCTTATAGATCCGGGATGGTACGTAATATTTTTTGAACTCAGCCAATTCTGCAAGTCTTTTTTTAACCACTTGGTTGTGGGCAGTCCTTCTATAAGTCTGGAGTGATAACTTGCATTATCCATTACTATTACACAGTTCTTAGAAAGAAGATCTATCATTTGTTCGAACCATTCTTGAAAGACATCAGCGTTCATGTCTTCATGGTAGTCACCGGTACGAGTTGATTCAAAAGTTAATAAACCACCTTCAACAAAACCGTCTGAACTGCCAATGTGTACTATTATCAGCCTGCGTCCCTTTCCTGATGGTGGGTTTAAACCAGTAGATAAGTTATTTACAAAAGCGTGCCTTTGACTTGTAACAATTTCATCCTGCCAAAATTTATTTGGTGTATGACCCTCGTTGATCCATGTTTCATTAAGATAAAATATTTTTCTTTTTTGGTTTCTCATTTCCTTTATGGTTCTTAGAAAATGTCTTCTCCATATGACAATATCGCTTCTTTCTAATAAAATAGACTTTCTGGGATTCTTTTTCCAGCGGAAGCCTATTTCTTTTAAAAGTTTCCATAACGTACTTCGACTGATTTCTGGGTAATCCTTATCATCTCGAACTGAGACAAGAACTTTATCCAATGTTGGAAATTCTTGTCTAAAGAAGAATTCATGCACTTTCCGTCGAAGTCCTTCTTTAAAATGATATTCTATTTGAAATTTTGGTTTCCCTGGAGCATTACGTGGCATTTGAAAAACTACCACATTTCTCTTCTTTAATAACTCTGTAAATCGTAGATTTCCCAACACCAAGTGTACTGCTAACTAACTCAACGGTCTCATCAACACTTTCACATAAACGTTTGTCTGTAAATGATTTAAAACAATTAAATATTAATGTTTTTTCATTAACTGTTAAAGGACCAATTTTTCGGCGTTTACACGGCACTTCCAAATTTTTCCATAACACTAGTATACACAATAAACTGCACCTTGCAACTGAAGTACCTACTTTTAGTGAACTGTTAAGAATTTTGAATACGCCACTTGGACCTTCCTACAAAATGGAAAAACCCACTATCACATTTTCTGTGGAATAAGTTTAGAAGGTAATTATCTAGTCAATTACTGTCGTAGATTCCTGGAATTAAAGAATTAAATGTTTGATTGTTGAAACCCTTACTTCGTGGAATGCACTCATTTCAGATAAAATAAAACGTTTTATTTTATCTAAAGAATTAAACTTTATTTTGCAAATAGGTAGGTACTTATTAAACTTTTATTGGTTATATATAACCAATAAAATAAACATCTTACATTTCTTGCAAATTCATTAGTACCTGTTAACCTCCATCACTCCGACACTGGCAACCTTATTTAGGGATTAGTAACCCTCACAACTATTGTATTCTATTCTGCTCCAACCTTTATACCTGGTGGTCATACTCAATTTAAAATTGTTTTCCTATATACTTCTGTAAACTTGTTGACAAATATCTGTTTTTCATTGAGTCACCCGTATCAACAGTTTAGGGATTTGCATACATAATTTATTGTTTTATTATCTCTCTCATACATAAAAATACACTATAGATGGTTCAAGCGTTGTCCACAAATTTTTATACCTTTTTCTTTCATTCTAATCTTTTAAAAGTATCTTCAAGAGCCTGATTGAAAAGTTTCGGTGATATATGTATCACCCTGTCTCACGCCTCTATTTATTTGTATTGATTTTGTTCCTTCATATACTTTAATTGTTGTTTTGGCTTCCTTATATATATTGGCTATTAGTTCCGCATATCTGTGGTCAATTCTGCTGTTCATCAAAGAACTTTTCACTGCCCAATATTCGACTCTGTTGAAAGCCTTTTCGAAATCAATGAACGCCATATATAGAGGAATGTGGTATTCATTTGCTCGTTCTATAAGTATTTTCATACTTAGTAAATGGTCATTTGTGCTGAATCCCTTTCTAAAACCAGCTTGTTCTTTCGACTGGTATCCATCGAATTTTGTCGTCAATCTATTGGTTAAAATTTTTTGTTAGGAGTTTATACATTACATTGAGGAGTGTTATAGGGCGGTAGTTTTTTATGTCGGCTTTATCCCCTTTCTTGTGTAGGATAATGGTTACTGATTCCTTCCAGTTGTTTTGTGATTCTTTTTTCTTTTAATATCTTATTAAAAAGGGGATGTAGAGTATTAATTACCACTTTTCCACCATATCATCTCTACAGTTTATTCAATCTTTCCAGGTGATTTGTTGTTTTTTCATCTCTTTCAATGCCTTCTTATTTCTGATTTGCTTATTTCTGGCTATGGCTAACCACTCTAAGCTATGTGCAAAATCCAAAAAGTTCAGATTTGGAGGAAATTGAAATTGAGAATAATGGCCACTCAGAAGAATTGGATTCCTTATTGGAATTGCCTTATATAGCATTTTTTATATAAAAATGCTTGCACGTCATTCAAGATTTACGACGTCAGAACCCCACAGTTTGAGTTTTGGCAACAAATGTGAGGCATTTGAAATATGCCTAAAAACGCAGCCATTAAACTTCCCTATTTCAAATGATCTAAAACGTTTACAACTGCTTTTTTCCATTACACTAGTACGTTTTTTGAAACTACCTATACAACTACAGGTCCTTTATGAACAACTGTTTTTAAAGACGGACAAAAACGTAAAAAAATGTAGAGAAAAAAAAGTCAAAAACAAAACAAAATGATCTAACACTAACCTACATTAATTGTGATATTTATACTAATTTTGTAATCAAATTGTTAAATTGCAAGCAAATAATAAATTTACTCGGTTTAATAAAAACAGGCTGGCTACTTGGTTTCGACAAGGCCAACACACTGAGAAAAATTAAACAAACACACCAACAAAGATAAATTAAAAACATTTCCTGTAAATAAAAACATACTTACCATCTTTATTTTTGTCTAAATGAGAGAAATGCAGCCTCAAATTTTTTTCGTGCTCTCGAACATAATAAATGAAATCTGCCAATGAAAGTTCACCGCTCTTGCTTTTGGTACTTTTAAGAAATTTCTGAAAAGAAACACAAAATTAACCTTGTTAAGTAAAGGTAACCAGCATGTAACTGATGCAAATTCGTGAGTTATAAGTTGAGGCATATTTAATTAGAACAAATTCTTTTGTACTCTTACTATACTTCTTTTGACTCCTTTATGGCATTCCTTTATTTTTTTTTATAAGATACTTACAAAAAAAACTTATTACTTAAATTACATTAAAATTACTTAAATATTACTTACTTAAAAAAAAACTTACTTTCGACAAGAAGTCGGGGAATGGGGAGGGTGATTCATAATGTATACAGATTGAACGAATTTAAAACGGATCATACAATTTAATATATGTCTGTTTGAACTGCATTTGAAATAGTGGACCAATATAAAACTTGGACAAAAATAAATCCATACCTGGGTATAGACATTGTATAAAATATCGTTCAACTATCTGTCTCGCAACAATGTTACAATGTTGTTTGCGTAAAGGAAGCGATAATAGTTCAGGAAATGAAGCTCGAAAAAAGTTAAAACTTCGCAATTTTTTCGTCCTGCATGCATTGAGTTGAAATTTTAACAGAAGGTAGGTGATAGCCCAAGGATCAAAATCTATATCGAACCGAAGTGCGCTGAAGGGTTTTAGGGTGAAAACTACCCCTAATTGTCAAAAATTATAAAATAACATATTAAACCTGAATATGGCTAAGATTTGGTTTGAATTAGTTAAATAATGATTATTTTATACTTTTGAATAGAGTTCCATCATATTTCAACCTTAAAAAGCAACCCTTGTTAGAGATTAATGTAAAAAAATTACTAATTCTAAAAAATGATTTCGCTTTGGATCGATTTGGATAAAAATTTGGATTTAAGCTCAATTCACCCACTGCTTTATAGTTTATGTCATGTCGACGAACCCTGATTGTTCTTAGGGGTGAAAACTACCCCTAGTTGTCAAAAATTATAAAATAACATATTAAACCTGAATATGGGTAAAATTTGGTTTGAATTAATTAAATAATGATAGTTTCGTGCTTTTGAATAAAGTTCCATCATATTTCAACCCTTAAAAAGCGACCCTTGTTAGAGATTAATGTAAAAAAAGTAGTAATGCGAAGAAAATGATTTCGCCTTGGAACGATTTGGATAAAAATTTGGAATTAAGCTCAACTCACCCTCTGCTTTATAGTTTATGTCATGCCGATGAACCCTGATTGTTCTTAGGGGTGAAAACTACCCCTAATTTTCAAAAATTGTAAAATAACATTACAAATCTTAAGATGAGTGAAATTTGGTTTGGATTAGTTAAATAGTGATTTTTTTATACTTAAAATACAATTTCATACATTTTCAACCCTTAAAAATCAATTGTTATGAGTGCTATAGGTGAAAAACAATTTTTTGCCAAAATTTTGCAACTTTTCAACTTTTGAATATCACCCTTTATAACATTGCAGTTTTTATAAACTAATTTAATAGATATAAATTGAAAAAAGTAGAATTAAATACAAAAAAATTTATCAACATAAAAAGGCACCATATATTCTTATACATTTACATAAATAGTTGAAAATATTTACATTTATAACAACAACAACAAAAGTTCATCGGGTGCAGGTTGTTTGTTCATGCGTACGGGTAATAACAAACCATCTTTGGAATACCATCCCCAATCTGTTGCTCTGATATTTTCATTGCCAAGCCATAGACATATGAGCAGATGTTTTATTCTGTTGTATGGGATTTCAAAATAAGAACGCTTAAAATTTCGAATGTATAACGCCCCACTACCTAATATACCGGTTTTGTAGATTATTATGCTCCGAAATGTACTGTACTATACTAATGGAATTTTCCGGAAAAAAAATTAATTGCTTTTTTTAACGTATTTCCTTCATTTTTAACGATAGAGTGTTTCTTCAAAAACGGTTTTGTAGAGGTTTTTAAGAGCTACAAGGATCTGTGAATTAAATCTTTTTGGAACCCTTGGTTTTTAAATGGGGTGAGTTTAAAGGGCTCGAAAAAGATGGTGCTTGATCGTAAATCGATGCTTTAAACGGCTATATCTCGCCAAATATTCATTGTACAACAAATCTAAATAAAGGAAAATTTTAGTCATTAAAAAAGCTACAATTTAGTACATTTTTATTTTTTTCATATATTCAGTATTTTCGGGGATATTTAAAAAAAGAAGGGTAAAAAATATGAAATTGTAAATCGTTTCTCGCTTTATGCTGTACTTTTTCTAAAACTAAGCATTTTAAATGGGTCAAACTTCTTGGACGTATTAACAATACATGTACAAAGAGAATTGCAGAAGGGTGAAGATCGATTTTAATTATGGGGTGGTTAGGGGGTTGTTTTCATCGATTTTTTCGTAAAAAAATGAGGTATTGACCTTATTTTTATCATAACTCACTCAATTTTTGAGCTAGAGTCTTTTTTTATGATAGGTCTATTTATGCTCTTTAAAAAAAGGTTCTGTGAGTTTTCTTCCAAAAATGCATCATTTTCCCGATATTTGACTTTGAATCTTTCAAATTTGGCATTTGAAGAAAACCGCTGAACATTGATAGGCCGTATTTCGGTTCCTGTTATATCGCAAAAACATTTTAAAAAATGAATTGTATTTGTCTTTTTAAAAGCTACAAATTTGTTCTCTACAATTTTTTTGATAAAATGCACCATTTTCGAGTTATTCGCGAAAAATCGATTAAAAACGTCGATTTTTTCGTCTAAAAGTTGTTACTTTCAATCGCGAATAACTTGAAAAATATCAGTTTTACAAAAAAAATGTATAGAACATTTTTTGTTTAGAATCACTTTTTTAATCGAAACCTGTAGTTAAAACGTAAAAAAAAAATTTTCACCCCCGAGATGGGGTGGCAACCACCCCTAAGGCTTTGGCGCACTTTGGTTCGATATAGATTTTGATCCTTGGCTATTACCTACCTTCTGTTAAAATTTCAAGTCAATCCACGCAGGACGAAAAAATTGCGAGGTGAAATGCTTCATTTCCTGGACTATAAGTGGTTTGACAGCATAATAAAATCGTAGATTTATGTGTAGCTTTCAATTTTTATGATGTTCAGAATCCAGCAGCCCGCTAAAGTATTGGATTTTTAATAATATAATTATTTGACAAACCTGTGGACGAGCTATATCAACAGACGTATTTACGATTCATTTTAGCAAATTAAAACTTGCTCAGCACAAATTATCAGAAATTTTTAATTATTTAGATGTATCAGTGGCGTTTCATGACGGCAACTTAAAAGTATTGTCTACATCAAAAATTGAATTTGTTCAATTTCAATTTTTTTAGAGATTACGGTGATAGAACATCACATAATAAGATCATTTTGGATTGGTATCAGAAACCAATATCTGGAAGATTTATAAATTATTTCTATCATCACTCAAAAAGCCAAAAACATAACACTGTTGTTGCGATGAAGAACAAAATTTTGTATATTAGTAATATGTTCTTACAAAAGCATTTAAGAACATTATACAACATATTTTTGAGTAACGGCTATCATAATAAAATTCTCAAGCAACTAATCTACAACTCAAACTTATAAAAATGCAATGTGATAACAGATCAATAGATCCCGTTATTACAAAATTTTACCCTACGTAAATGGCTTAACTAACAATATAATCAAGCTGTTAAGTAGAATCTCCAAAATCAAAATAGCTAAATATAACAGCACATCCAATTACAGCTTATTCTCTAAGTTTAAAAACAAGACACCGCCTCTAAATCAGACTCATCTCGTTTACCAACTTTCTTGTCTCGAATGTGATGAGCAGTATATAGGTCAAACATTGCAGTAGTTAAAGTAAAGAATAACGCAACACAAAAGTGATTGCAAAACAGAAAAAATTCTTGTGCCCTAGCCCACCATTCCAACACATTTAGTTTATCAAATGTCAAGATCTTGGATATAGAAAACAATTATATAAAAAAAGCTATTTCTCGAAATGTAGCTCCTAAACAAAAACAAGAAGTCAATTAATTATAAGACAGACACTTGCAAGTTAATTACACAGATAATTAAAGACACAGCGTTACTACCTCTGTAGTGCGCTATTTCAGTAAACATGGAGCAGTGGACGGTAGAACATCATACGCAGCGGCTTTTTCGCACTCACTTTAATATTGGTAGGCGTGGAGCGATTCCATCTCGCAACATAATCTTAAGATGGATAAAGAATTTTAGAACAACAAGTGCCATGAAAAAAAGCAACAAGGCCCGAAAACATGCAATTAAGGGCTGTTTTTAATCGGTGCAGCCAAAATTTTTCTCTGTTATTTACCGACGAAATGTCTCGAAATTTGGACATGTTATACGAAATTATGTTGCCTTTAAACTGATGGTTTTACTTTTTTTATTTTTTTGAATTTTCTGTTGAAAAATTGGATTATACTGTTTAACGTTCTATTATAACCAAACTTTTCACGCCCATCAGTTGAAAGAGTTTTTTTTCTGTAATCGTTGATTCTTTTTTCACCTTTCTGTGTCCAGTAATAATCGAGAAAAGCGTATTCAAACTTTGAAGAAAATTGCTAAAAAATACTGAAATCTAATAGTGAAACGTGTTCCTCATCATTGTCGCTGAGCTTGATCGTTATCGCATTAGTGACGTCAAATCTCATGAGCGTACGGTACGGTCTTATTTTTATTTCTCTATGGGTACGGTCAGTTAGTTCGCTTGAATTAGAATCCATTTTAGTTCTTTCATTCTTGTATTTTCTTTATCAACTTGCTTAGTTTTTACAGTTTACAGTATTCTTATTTATTTTGAAAACATTGAAATTATTTAGTTTACGTGTATGTTAAGTAATATATTATTAGTTTAGTGGTATAAGTTAAAGTTCTTTAGTTTACGCGTATTTTTAAGTATTACATTAGGTTAGTGATATAAGTTATAAGAGACAAGATAAAAAATGAGTCCCAGTAAACGTCCTATGTCAAGGAAAAGGAGCAATTGCACTGCTTAGTATTTATTATT